CCAGGCGAGGGAGTTAACATCTCCTAGCCACCGTGGCACCCACCTTGGTTGGGTGGTTGGGTAGCCACCATGCGCACGTCTGGTGGTTATAGGCTGCCGTGGTTAGGGTTAGGGTGGGGGAGAGGGGGGGGTCAGAGGTTGTTGGGGCGTTCTACGCCCCATCGCCCCCCCCCCTCCTCTCCCCCCCCTAATTTCCGGCAATTCTCGCGTCCGCGCGATGCAATCGCGGCGTGGCTGCCAGGCGCCCAATGTGAAGACCACGTGCGGTTAATGCTGCCCGCTCGCAATTGTGTTCTGAATAACGTACGACTAATTGTAATGATTGCTATTGTCGGTGGTTGTGATGGTAAATGGTGATGATTGAGTCGATCAACGATGATGATCATCATGATGATGATCATGGTGATGATCATCATCATGTGTCGTTGATGAGGATGGTGGTGCTGGTAGCATTGTTATTGCTGTCGATGATTATGACAGTGTTGATTATAATTTTTGATCTCGTTGATGATGGTCATGATGATGACGATCATAATCAGAAGATTTATTTATACTGGAGGAATCCGATGAGCTATAAAGCTCTTTTACACAGATGTCCAGTAGATGGTGTGGAGGATAAAACTGATATACAGTATTTATGTTGATGGTGATGGCGATTTTGATGACAATTATGATGGTATCGATTAATCTGATTGATGATCATCAAATTATGGTGACGATTTATGATCATGTTAATGAGGTCGATGATGATGATGACGGTGACAACTCCACCCAACGTGACAAATCTTAGGCACGTGGACAGAATTCCGAACATTAAGATAAATTCTGATGCTCATGCAGTACAACCTAATAGCAACACATATTCAAGTCACAAACACAGACACAATTACATGAATAGGCTCACGCTCCAAGAGACACCGCACATTTTAAATACTTGCATAAATTTAAGAGCAAGCTGTTCTTTCGCTCACATGAAATACATCATTTGGCAAAAGTCACGCATCCGTTAATGCAACATTTCGCGTGGCCTAATCGCCCTGTGATTTCTCATGAGCTCAAACGGCTTCTTTGTGTTCCCCGCCAGACTTGAGCGGGCTGAAGGCAGGAGTTGATCTCATCTGCAAGAAAATAAAGTTGGGGAATCTGGAGAAAATTGGCCACGACGCTTTTCCCCTCCCTCAACCACCCTTAAAGTCACGGCTAGGGTTATAGGGTATAGGGTAGGTGGGTGCGTGGTACCACGTCGGCAACCCTGTTGGGGAAAGAAGGGTTATGGTACCTCTCCAGAAATGGATATTCTGCACCGAGTATACACGGGGCCCTGGGACCCACAAGGCACAGCCTAGAAGCTGCTGACTGCGGGAATGGATGAGTTACACACACATATATACACAAAGACAAAGATCCCCCATATAGACTTTGACAGAATGTTGCGGGTAAGTGCTGTTTATAGCGAGGAACGGCACACGAGGCGGTGGGTGGATGAGTGGTCAGCACTACGGCCGGCCGCCTTTGTCTCCCCAATGCTGAGGTCCCACACCGCAGCACGTGCTCATCTAAGACTTGGGAGGATCCCAGAACTGGTTGAGTCGTTAATCACCAATGGTAGCTGGGAATCAAACTCTGGTCGCCGGGTTCGTAGCGAAGTATATTAACCACTGCACTACCGCTTCCCCTATATACAGTCTATATACAGACATACACACGCACATATATACTGTATAGGCAAACTAAAACAAAGATCCCCCGTGTAGCATTAATAGTGTTTCCAGTACCACGCCAGGCCGCCTTTGTCTTCCTCGTGGTGATGTTTACACATAGAAACAGGTACTCATTGAAGGCCGATTTAATCCAGCAGAGGCCCAGAACCGGTTCGGTAAATCCGTCTCAACTGACGGCCGCTTGCGTTGTGGCCGAAACGTCGTGAGAATTTTATCGTGTTATTTTATTATTTTATTCTCATTCTACGTGACTTTACCGAAAGAACCAAAGAAGATGATGTTGACCATGCCCGAGAATCGAACCCAGTGCGCTAACCGCTGCGCCACGACTCCCCGTGATCTTAGTTGTACTTGTTTAAAGCCGGGCGTCAACGTGAAAACCTCGGCGGAAAGGTATTCTGTCTATATCTGGGCACGACCAACACGAGTGGATTTATAGCGACATCTGCGGACGCGATTACAGCCCAACTAGTGGCGCTTGGTGTTCAGCGTATCGCAACTCACGAAGACGAAGATCCCCCGTGTAGCCTTCACAGGCTGTTGGGCCAAGTGCTATTAGCGAGCACCTGTGAAGGACGGGGAGAGTAGCCAGCACCACTCCCAGCCGCCTTTGTATTCCTAGTGGCGATGTTTACACATCACACCACCAGGTACTCATTTGAGGCTGAATCGACCTAGGGGAGGCCCAGGACCGGTTCAGATAATCGTCACCGGTGTTGGGCCGTGAACGGGAATGGAACTCGGGTCGCCGGGTTCGTAGCACAGCGCGCTAACCGCTACACTACTCCATTCACATACAACCACTCACACACTACCACACATACATAAGAAAGACATTGACACATACATAGACTCAAACTCACACACACATAGACAGACACTGACATGCACAAAGATAAAGATTCCCCGTATAGCCTTAACAGACTGTAGGGGGAAGTGCTGTTAGCGAGCACCTATGAAGGCCGGAACGGTACACGAGGGGGTGGGTGGCCAGCACCACGCCCGACCGCCTTTGTCTCCCCAGTGGTGATGTTTACACACCGCACCAGGTACTCATTTTAGGCTGAGTCGACCTAGACATGCACACACACCTAGACACAAGCTAACACTCACACACGTGCGCGCCGTGGGGGGGGGGGGGGGGTCGTGCTGGAGGGGTCGGCTGGAAGGACACGTGTCCTGGTTCACTTGTAACGTGTGCGCGTCATCTGGGCGCTCACACTTAGAGGACGAGTACTGCTCCTCCTCCTCCTGTTCCTCTTCTTCCTCTTATCCGTGTTTTTGGCAGAATTTTGCGCTGACGTCGAGGCGTGCTGACACCCAGAGACGCCTGAGGCGCACACGGCCCCGGTCTGAAGAAGACGACGAGAAGCGAAGTGGTTTCAACGGTTCCACGTAATCTGCGCTTGGATTCCGAACCCACGTCCTTCGCGTTTTGAGCTCAGTCGCCCTGTGCCCCATGCCCTCGGCTACAGCTCTCCCACGCAGAAACCCACCACCATCATCACCACCAGCACCAGTATTATTACTTCCACCACCACTGCCACCACCAACCACCATCACCGCCACCACGGTAGGTGGCTTAGAGACGGGTACCATGTAACTGTGAGATCATGGGAAAATCATCCATCACCTCCACGGCCACCACGACCAGCACCACCACCACCAACCACCATCACCACCGCGACCACTATTCGGAGCAGTGCTCAAAGGGCATGCGTGTGGTTTCGAATGCCGTGAAACCGAAGCCGAAGAGATGTGCCGCCTCAGCAGGGGGTGAGTGGGACAGACGGACAGCCAGGGGCAGCTGTTTGCGATGCGCACGGGGGCTAGGGGGGGGGGGATAAGTTTAGAAGTGAGGACGCCTCTCTACACAGAGGGTAGCCGCGAGAGGAGACGGAGCGAGACAGAACCCGTTACAGAACTGTAGAGAGAGAGAGAAGAGGCAGTATCTCAAACAGACATTTTAATGACGACGACGACGACCTATTGGCCTGATTATAAGTCGCTCCAGAAAGTAAGACGGACCTCGAACGTTGAACGCGCGTGAAGTGGGTAGCGGCCTGCGTGTCGCGCACATGCCGCATTACGACAACAACAACAGCAACAACAGAACGCGGTTGGCAAAGGAGATGCCCCGGTACCGAGAGAGACGCGAGCGACTCTCTCTCTCTTCTTTTTTTTTTGCGAGAGATTGAACCGCGATCACGCAGGACATGGATGGGCCCGCGAAGCACAAACCCTTGACTTGAACACGACCGTGAAGAGTGAGAATAAAGTTGCACGCGCCACGGGAGAGACGTCGCAAGTGGCGGACAGCAGGGGAGGGGATGAAATGATCTATAAATAACAATTGAAAAAAAACACACACACACAGTTACAGAAAATAAATAAATTAAGAGGGTGACATGAAAAGACACTACGCGTGCAGATTTTTATAAAATAATTAATAAAATGCAATTTATGGAGAGGCGATGAGGTGGACGCCGCGGATCTGCTGTGCCGCTCCCGGAGTGGCGAGAGCAGGTGGAGTATTTACGGGCCCGATATTTTGAGCGACACTCCACCACTCCTGGATTTGGCTGAGTGTGCGCGTGCGTGTAATTGTGCGTGTGTGCGATTGTGTGTGTGCGTGCGTGGTGCCAGCATTCATTTGGTGGTCGCTAACGGCACTTGCTCCAACAATATGTCAAAGGCTATACGGGGGATCTTTGTAGTGGGGAGAAGTAGTGTAGCGATTAGCGCGCTGCCCCTATGAACCCGGCGACCCGAGTTCGTTTCGAACTCACGGCCAACAGCGGTGACGATTATCTGAACCGGTTGCGGGCCTCCACTAGGTAAACTCAGCCTGAAATAAGTAAACGGCGCGGTGTGTAAACATCGTGATGGATGAGACAAAGGCGGCCGGGCGTGGAACTGACCACCCACCCCCTCGTGTGCCTTTGCAGGCCTTTATACTTGCTTACAGCACTTGCCCCAAGAATCTGTTAAGGCTATACTGGGGATCTTTGTCTTTGTGAGTGGGCCTGCTGTCGAGTGTAGCCTGCAATACCCTCGGTCAGCATCACGGGTGAGCACGAGGTGGGTGTAGTGAGGAGAGGGGGGGGGCAGCAGGGTTGAGTGGCGTGGTGGTAGGGAGGTGGGGGCGAGTGAGCCACGGGTGCGAGGCGCGCGTGTGTGCGGGGAGGAGTCGGTGGTGGGATTGGTGAGGTTTGGATGGGGGTGGAGGGGGTGGGTGGGAGGGGAGGGTGCGTGCAAGAGGCAATTTAACGTGTTTAAACGGACTGCGGCTTTCACAGTGAAACCCAGAGAGCGTCCGAAGCACACTCGCACGCGCGCGCGCGCGCTCTCTCACACACTCACGCGTGCAAAGCAAAGTGACGGAGCCGAACACTTGGCCGCTGTTGGGCTGAGCCTCCAGGCACAGCCGCATCGCCCCTCCACGAAGAAGAAGAAGAAGTTCCACGTTCGAAGATGCCGCTGCCTCCGCTGCTGCTGATGAAGACCCCCACAACTGTGACCCCCACGCAAGCGGCGGCCGCGACGGCTGCGGCGATGCGGATACCAAACCCGGGACGCGAACCGGGCAGACAGCAGCTCGCCGGCGGCTCGACTCCGCAGTGGCCTTGAAGAAGCGACCACCCCGCGGCCAACCCTTCACGCGCTGCCAAACCCGAGGTACAAGCACAACACCCCTCCCCCCCCCCACCACGAAGCTCGTCCCGACTTGCCGAACCGACGCGCAGCCAAAACTGTTCCCCATGCCCCAGACTTAACGTCGTCGTTGCAGTGAACAGCCAAAAGGGTCGGAGTGTCATCGTCAAGCAGACACAAAGTATGATGCGTGTGTACGCAAGCACCTTGGTCAATCCACTGCTGTGTGAGAGCCTTCCCCCCCCACCACCACCACCCCACCCTTCCTCCTCCCCCCCCCACGCCATCAGCGGCAAATTGACGAAGAAATGGAAATCTCCACGACATTAACTCTCGAGCCGACTGAACCAAACGTGTCCAGCAGAATGTTGCGTGAAACATTTTTTTTTAAATGCAGACACTGAATGGAAAGGTTTTGGTTGTGTGACTTTCATCAGCAGGGTGTGGCCCCCCCTGAGAGATGCCACCCCCTTGAGGCTCGCTCAAAGTGGATCGCGATTCTACACCAGGCTAACCTGGTTCGCTCTCGTGTGATTTAAATGTTTATAAGGCTGAGCTCCCGTCTGATATTTGCGTAACTTTAGACGATTGTATCTTACACGTGTCACCCGAGGCTTAATTTACACCCGTCTCATTGTTAATAAATGCACACCTTAGTGAATGTGTACACGTGTATTATGTTGTAGAGCGGTGGCGCAGTGGTTAGTGCATCGCGCTAACAACCCGAATTCCTTAGTTCAATACCCGGCCACGGCTAACATCAGTGGTGAGCGATATCTCAACCGATCCTGAGACGACCTGTCCTCCTCTTCACCAAGCCGCATTGACCAGCGTGGTGAAGTATGGTCAAACAAACCTGACAATTATCGACACGGCGTGTGGGGAGGTCAATCCGGCAGTAGATTTTGACATTGTATGACCTGCTACCCATCGTAATACCTCCGCCGCTGAAATTGTCTTTAGTCTCTTTTTGAGTCTGTGTATAAACTCTATCGATGTTTAGCCAGCACTCACCATGAGTGCTTCCTTCATCTCTCTCTCAAACCCCCAGCTGGCAGACCCCACATCGCATCGTCTACCAACAAAGAGAGACGGGAGGGGAAAAAAAATACACCCACGTGACCAATTTTCACATTTTATTCAAAGCGGTTCATAAAAGTCACAGCGTGTGTTAGGTGCCGCGGTGCCAAACACGTGTCGTGACCTTGCCTGGAATCAAAAGGGTGGCCGGGGATGAATATTATCGAGTCGACGTTGAAATAATCGTTAAACAAAAAGCGAAAGAGAATGAGTAACAATGCGACCTGTGGTTGTGGTGGAGCGCGTTCAATCACAGCAGCGTTCGCCCGCTGTGATTGACAAAGGGTCGTAAACGATGTCATGATGAATATTGGAGCGGTTCACCAACGTTGTGAGATAAAATCAATTATCTCATTCCCTAATGAGATTTCATATGTATAGATATATCTAATACTGTACCTGCAGAAGTTAGTGGGGGGAAAAACTCTGTCCGTTCGTGATAATAATTTGCGAATTATTCAACTTTCTCTGATTGAAAGTGCAAGTTACAACTAACCATGACGATCCAATTTGGATGTTATAATAATGTGGTTGTGTTGCCTGTGGCTATAAATCTTTAAAGTTAATTAATATCTACACATACATGAATTAATTTAATCTGCGTGTTCTTCCCAACACTTCTCCCCTACACACTCCGCTACCCCACTCGCACTCAAAATGCGCACGTCTCCGCCCGGAATACAATTACCGTATTCTCACGATTATGAAACGCACGTCGCTGTCCCCCACTCTCCTTCCCTCGTGATATAAAGCAAAAATATTTGAAGGGTGCGTCCTATAATCCGGTAGCCGTGTCTGTGTGTGTGTAGGGGAGCGGTAGTGTAGCGGTTATGGCGCTTTGCTACGAAGCCGGCGACGATAGTTAGATTCCCGATCACGCGCCAACACCAATGACGATTATCTAAACCGGTTGTGGGCCTCCTCTAGGTCCGCTCAGCCGCAAATGAGTACCTGGTGCGGTGTGTAAATATCGTCACTTGGGAGACAAAGGCGGCCTGGCGTAGTGCTGGCCACCCACCCCCTCGTGTGCCGTGCCGGCCTTCAAAGGTGCTCGCTAAAAGCACTTGCCACAACAGTCTGCTAAGGCTATACAGGGGATCTTCGTCTTTGTATGTGACCGGATTTGAAGAATTTTATTGACACCGGGCACACGTTTGGGGATGCGTCTTACTTTCCAGAACGTATTATAGTCCTAATAATACGGTAACACATGCGTACAGGTATCACCGAGGGTGGCAAATGCGATAAATGATATTCTGCAAGAATTATATCAGGAAATTACAACTATATATGATAGCAAGGTCACGGTGATTGCTGTGTATAAGATAGAGGTCATTGGCGGTACCTATCATTTTGTGAAAACAAATTTAACTGATATGAATATGACAATTATCAAGAGTATCTATACAGCAAACGGAACATGAGGTTTCCTACCCCTGAGTGACACTGCCCATGGGTGACACTGCCCCTGAGTGACACTGCCCATGAGTGACACTGCCCATGGGTGACACTGCCCATGGGGGACACTGCCCATGGGTGACACTGCCCCTGGGTGACACTGCTCCTGGGTGACACTGCCCCTGAGTGACACTGCCCATGGGTGACACTGCCCATGAGGGACACGGCCCATGGGTGACACTGCCCCTGGGTGACACTGCCCATGGGTGATGCTGCCCATGGGTGATGCTGCCCATGGGGGACACCAGAAGCTTTTTTCCACCCCCGGGTGGTACCCACCCAAGCCTCTTGGCTAAATTTGTCGCCAAAAAATGTCTGCAATGCAGGATTCTGCAAAATAAGTTGACTTCCGAAATCACGTGGGCAGTGGGCACACCACTTTACTCTTCGTAGATGTATCTCAACGCTTCGTCATCATCAAGCATGATCTATCCACTGCTAGATGAACGCTTCCAATCTCTCACGGTATCCCGATGTGACAGTTATCCATCTCGAGTAATCTGGAGCACCTGGCACCTCAACCCTTCACGATGGTTGATTATCTCTACCCCCCACACAAACTCTCCCCTCCCCAAGATATTTATCGTTTAGCCTTGAAGATGCACACAAAGTCCTCGGTGAGCGTGTAATATTTGAATACGAGTTTTAATGTTGTTTTTCAATATAATATTTGAATGATTACAATGGGTAACGCATTTTTTTTGTTCCTGGGTAGTAAGTGTTATTTTCTAATTGCTTATGCCTCAAAAGTACAGAAAATGGATATTATTCCCCACAAACTTTGCATTTGTGACAAGGACAGTGATATTTTGAAATTTACCTATTTTCAATAAGAAAACGTGGTGTGCTTTGTGTCATTCCTTTACATAAAGTCCTGGTCACAAAGCAAAGTTTGTGTGAAAAAAATAGCCATTTTCTATACTTTTTAGGTGTAAGCTATTAGAAAATAACACTTACTACCCAGGAACAAACATCGTTAAATCTTGAATTAAAGCTTTCAAGACTGCAGGAATTCATAATCTTTGGGTCTTTCGGTAAAGTCACGTAGATAGGTTCAAATGATCAGGTGACGATCGCTTGTGTTGTGATCGAAACGTCGTAGTTTTTGTTTATTTTATTTGTTATTAATTTGAACCTATCTCCGTGACTTTACCGAAAGACCCCAAGAAGACAAAAATCGTGTTACATAGTTACGTATACTCGATACGTTTTTGAGACAGGATTGCTTATCCTGCGTGATATAACGTGTCGGACAAACAGATGGTATAGATACACACACGTACACACTCAGGTATGTGCACACGGGGAGCGGTGGTACGTTGGTTAGCACACTGCGCCATGAACCCCCGACGTTCTGAGTTCTATTTCTGACCACAGCTCACATATCAGCGGTAAGGCCCCTCCCGTTCACCAACTCGCAACTTACCAACGTGGTGAAGTATGGTCAAACCCCCCCCCCCCCCATGACTAACATGACGTGCGGGGAGGCCTTCATCTAATTTTGGACTGGCAGGGCTGTAAATTATTAATTATTATAGACATGCAAACACATGCACACATATACAAAGACTAAGACCCTCCCGAAAGGCTGGGCAGACTAATGGGCCAAGTGCTGTTAGCGATCACCTATTAAGGCTAACACGGCACTCGATGGGGTGGGGTAGTCAGCAGCTACGCCAATTTAAGGTTGTGTAGACCTAGAGGCGACCCAGTACAGGTTCAGATAGCGCGTGCCAGCGATGCTGTAGATGGTCAGGAATTGAACTCCATCGCAGCGCAGTGCGCAAACAACCCCTCCCCACTCGCAAATGCACACACACTCTCACATACTCACAAATACACACACACTCTCACATACTCACAAATACACACACACACATAGACACTCACAAATACACACACATAGACACTCACAAATACACACATACTCACAAATACAAACACACTTTCACATACTCACAAATACACACACACTCTCACATACCTCTAAATACACACACACTCACATACTCACAAATACACACACACTCTCACATACTCACAAATACACACATACTCACATACTCACAAATACACACACACATAGACACTCACAAATACACACACACATAGACACTCACAAATATACACACACACATAGACACTCACATACTCACACAGACACTCACAAATACACACTCATAAATACACGCACATACACACTCACAAATACACACATATAGACACTCAGAAATACACACACTCTCAAATACTCACAAATACACACTATCACATACTCGCAAATACACACACTCTCTCACATACTCACAAATACACAAAGACAAATGCACACACTCACACACTCACAAATACACACACACTCACACACTCACACATACACACACATATACTCAAAAATACTCACAAACACAAATACACACACATTGAAAAAGATCCCCCTTATAGCCTTAACAGACTTTAGGGGCAAGTGCATACATATACACACA